GCAACTACGACGCTGCCTCAATCTACCTGTCGAATTTTAAATGCTCTCAATTTAGAGTTGTCAACGGTCCCTGACATCGAACACAATAGTAATACGTCACCAACAGCAGAATAAGAAAGATTTCAATGGAAGTTTAAAACAATATTGAAAGAAATTAGCAGAAGAATAAGTACATGTTTTAAATAGCATGACGTTAACTGACGTAGACTGTGCTTTTGTTACTTCTCTTCGTGCTCGTATTTAAAAACCCGACTATTGTCTTCGATATTCTGACGCTATTATCTGACAGTGGTTACAGCGCCTCATATGCGGGAGGTCGCTGGTTCGAATCCCAGCTAAGTCTTACCAAAGACTTATAGAAATGGCGCTAGCAGTTGCCTCGCTTGGCGCTCAATATAGTGAGGTTATTATTAGTGCTATGATAATGTGACTGGGTGGGTCATCATGCGGCATGATGCCCCAGTGCTAGACATCACTATAAACTGACACAATGTAGACATCGCAGCGATATGACTGAAAAATCGTTACAGCTTCGTTAAATAAAATTTAAGTCACGCACACCTATACAGCATTTAGTAAAACGTTCATCGAAACTGTCCGATTTGCTATTTTCTTTTTTCATTAATATTATATACTTTATCACACCATGCTAGCAAGAAATTTTAATATCGAAATTGACTCTGAAGAATTTTACCTGTGATAGTCTGTACTGTCGAATTCAACAGAGCAGAGTAAACGTTTCACTAAAATATTACTTTAATTTTAATTTGTAGCAAAACAATGAATCTACGACTGTTATAAAAGATTTTTAAGACGGCAATTCTTCAGTACAGAATATAAAACAATAGCTTTTAATTTTGTACTTATCAGTGTTTTTTAACGGAGTTCTTTGCGGTTCGTAAATAAGTTCTATGTGCTTGGTGTTTTTAAATCTGCTCGGTAAAGGAGTTCTTCTGTGCGCTTGGTAACGGAGTTCTATTTGCTTGGTAACAGTTCTTTTTATGTACTTGGTAACGAGTTTTCTATGTGCTTGATAACGCAGTTCAGTTCTTATATATGCTTGGTAAGGAAGTTTTTATATGTGCTTGGTAATTGTTTATGACCCACAAAAAAGATAGGTTTAGCAGGAGAACATTTTAGAAAATAATCTCCTAGTAAATAAATTTCATTCTCTTATTTTATAATTGAAATCCGAACTTGTTTCCTCTAGTAGTAGTAATAAATAGTAGCTGTATACTGAAAATCATATGAGAAATGATAATGTTGATGATGCCAATAATAATAATAATAATAATAATAATAATAATAATAATAATAATAATAGTGCTATTACTACTACTTCTACTTCTACTACTACTACTACGACTACTACAACTACTACTACTGTTACTACTACTACTACTACTACTAATAATAATAATAATAATAATAATAATAATAAAGCTAATAATTATAATAATAATAATAATAATAATAATAATAATAATAATAATAATAATAATAATAATAATAATAATAATAATAATAATAATAAAGCTAAGAAGAAGAAGAAGAAGAAGAAGAAGAAGAAGAAGAAGAAGAAGAAGAAGAAGAAGAAGAAGAAGAAGAAGAAAGCGTCACCATTGTCATATTCATTGCATTATTTATATATTCTACAACAATCTCCAGGACAAAGATCATTTGGAGAGGAATCTGCATATGTTTTTCTCTATAAAATAATAAGAAAAAGCGAGAAATAAAATCAAATGATTTAAATCAAAGAAAGACAAAGAAATTTTCTGTACCTTTTTTTTAGCTCCAATATATGTCGTGTATCTCCAATCCAAATAGTCATGGAAAACAGTCACAGTCTGTTTAATAAATCCACAACAAAAACATAAAACACAGCAGAGGAGCGGTGGTCCACTCCGACAATAGCAATCATTCAAGTTTCCAGGTTCGGGGATTTTAAAGCGTTACATCAGATCCGGATGACCGCCGAATAGTCGATAATCGATCGAAGCGAGCTCGGTAACGGAGTTTGTGCAGTGGTGCTTAATTCCAGAGGCCATTCTGCGCCCTATGGAATTGAACACAGTGGTACTAGTCTGTTATGAATGATGAGCTAAATGTTGGATATATTTTGCATAACTTCTTTCTGTATTTCTTGTTTGGTAAGCATCAGATTATTAATATAAATGGATTTACAACTAATTTTATTTCAGACAAAAAAATCTACTTTACAATGATTGTTTGGAAGAGACTTAATGCCGTTTAAGTTACAATTATGTAATCAGAAACAGATGGAACTGGAGAAAATACAACCACCCAAAATTGTTTCATAACATGCGAATTAGGTATAAATGTAACTGAATAAATTCACGTTTTCCACTTGTAATGAGTATCTTTCTTAGAGAAAACTTTCTTTTTTCATTACATTGATAATTATTAAATTATCACGATTAGTCACGTGATATTTTATGCTTTGAATAGAACGGATTATTTGCTAATATCATTTTTATTCATTCAGAGCATCCTTTTCTAAAACAAAAATTGCAGAATGAACCTTAAATCGTCATTCCAGGAGACTTACGCTTCAGCTGATTGCCAACAACGTACTTTCCGCATGCACTTCGTTTGACTGATAGATCGGTATCAGACTGATATATCGGCCTGGATTCTCGAGAAAATTTTCGCCATTGTGACAGACTTATCGGTTTAACATCTGGGAAGTAGGTTTTTATACGTCTGAGTCGTGTTTAACTGGTGGCTACATGTTTAGGGTATGTATTTAGAGTTTATCAGTATTTTACTGATTTAGGTTTGTTGACGACCTAAAACGAAAGTACAAAATATAAAATTAATATATACAGTATGCAGTATGCGATTTTGAATTTTTATTATTGCATATTTCTGTGCAAAATCTGCAGACATCGTAGCAAAATAACTGAAAAACTGTTAAAGCTACGTTAAAAATCCAAGTCACATAAACCCAAGCAAATCACACGAGGACAGCTCTACGGATTTTATACCCTTGACCGTAACGTTAAAATATATAAAATTAAATCCCTTCGCATATATGTGTGTGTGTGATGTCTGGCACTGGGCATCATGCCGCAAACATGTAGCATCACGTTTACGTGATTATCAGCCGAAAAGTTTTCAAAACTAATGGGAAAATAGATTTATGGTTTACAAAGTTGCTATTCATCCTGAATTAATGGGTTTCAAAATTTGGAAAATCGGAAATAATTTAAGAATGAGTACCTGACAGTAACTGGTAGACTGTTTCAAGTGGTATTAAGTAATACAATATATTTTTCATCAGTCATTTCATCCTCAGTAAGTTTAAAAGGTACATGAACCAGTAGGTCGGATGAGCTGTGCGTTGCTTATAATTTAATAAGGAATCTGTCTTCTGCCCTGACGATGTGGAACAATATATATTACAATTTCACATACGAGGATAAGCAACAAACACATTGCAAGAAACTTTATAATATATATATATATATATATATATATATATATATATATATATATATATATATATATATATATATATATATATATATATATACCAGTAGCTTGTGACAACGATATTATGGAACCCAGATCAAAATTATTGTAATCATAAACCGATTGCTTGAAAGTTTGATGGAAGCATGGATATGGCCTTGAAAGCTGTTGCCATAGTTTTGCTATTACTCTGCCGTGTATAAATGACACATGGATCTGGTGTTTCGAAGAAATATCATCTGTACTGTCATGAAGTAAAAAAAAAAGAATAAATTAATGCAAATTAGGGGACTCATTGACAGTTCTTTGGCTGTAATTAGTCGATTCCAAACGGATGCTTGACAATCGTCTAATTGAACAGGAGTTTGATATGCAGCAGGCATGTATAGTTGACTGGTGCAGGCTGTTTCGTCAAACAGACATAATAAATACCGAATCATGAATCATTAATCGTATCCCATTTCGAAGATAAGCGCTTAATTTGTTCGTGCCATGCCTAATCAAATCTAGTTGGGTTTTTCAAAATTTACTAACAGACTATACCAATATAATTGTGCAGTTTGTCCAGTTAATAAAGATGAAAGGTCTTCCACCACTTGAAGCCTAATGCATTTCTCTGATACAAATTTTAAATAAAAAGTTTTCTCTATATGGCAGGAGAGCTCACTTTTCAGATTAAATCGGGGTGCATACTGGCAACAAGATGTTGAACAGTTCTAAAACAATTTCTAGTAATTAAGATGTTCACACCCATAATGTAATCTATATAGTAGGGGAAACACTTTACTTTATTTGTGGGGGATTTTCTCTGTTTCATAAAGAGGCAGACCTGGTTGACAAATTAATAATATCCATTCAAGTTTCGTACTGTTCGCTTGCTGAGGATCTGTAAAACCACACTTTGACAACTTTAAACGATGTGCGTTTCTTTTGAACTTATTTTCTTCGCTTATGTTTGTTGTTGTTGTTGTTGTTGTTGTTGTTGTTGGGCTTAACGCCATTTTTCAGCACATGATAGGCTATTCATGGCGGCCAGTATTAATGGTGGAGGAAGAAACCGGGAATTCATCGGAGAGAACCACCGACCCACGATAAGCTACTGGCATGCTTTCTCGCATATCCACATTCGCCGAATCCTAGACTTGAACACAAGCAGACAGAGGTGAGTTGGCAGTGATCCGTAACGGACAGCGCTTTGGACCACTAGGCCATTGGGGGCCCCTTACGTTTGTAAAGTTCGTAATCTTCAATGTACATAATGTGGTTTACACAGTCTTGAAAATAATTTGCCCGTATGATATATCAGGAAACTCGCTTTGATTGAGAAAATGTAAAATACATCTAAAACATAGTCAGTAAAATATCGTAAAAGATAAAATCTTCACGTTAAAGCTAACTTGTATTTTGTTTTGTCTCAACCGAAACCGCCGCACCGTGTTTCAGATGATAAAGCGGTTGTATAATATACCTTTGAATTCTGAGCATTCTATCTCAGGAAAGACGGCTCTAGTGGCCTGGTGGCTAGAGCGTCCGCCTCGGATGCAGGAGGTATCGGGTTCGAACCCCGGCTGAGTCATACCAAAGACGCATAAAAATAGTACCAGAAGCTGCCTTGCTTGGCATTCAGCATTAAGAGGATAGAGTTATGACTGGTCAACCTGTTGTCAGGATAATGTGACTGAGTGTGAAATCATGCCATATGTTTGCGGCCTGATGTCTTAGTGTTTGACATCACTATAAGCTGTCACTCTGAAGACATCGTAGCGATACGACTTAAAAATTGTTACAGTTATGTTAAAATTCCAAAAACACACCCACTCACACCACACATCTCAAGAAAGTGTTTCATGTACTAAAAAGTTCATATACTCTTCTAGTCCGTCAATTTTCAGATCCACCTTTGTCGGTGTACTAAGAGAGCCGGATTGTAGGATATTTGTTTCATTGACTATCTATCGACATTGCGGTTTTTCATGCAAGCTGTTATGGTCGATACAGAGCTTACTAACCTTAGTCATTGGTCTAAACTTGACCTAATGAGTCAGAGAAAAAAAGAAATAATGAAATATTTACAACAATAATATTATGACATAATTAAGTTAATATTATCTGCCATCTTTTGCAACCTATCTAATTACCATTTTTTTTACCAGACTTAAAACCTATCGTTTCAGCCAGTCGTACTGTTTCCTGGTGTAATTACATAATTACACTATTTACCGTGTTTTGAACGTTTCTTCGTCTGCTACTTACTCATAACGGTTCGAAAACGTTTAACAAACTAACCTTTTACCAATGTTTGCATTGTAAAAATGTGTCTTTTCTGCCCTTTATATCTAAGGTAAGCAAACAACTTACACTATCAGCTTTCTCATATTGTCAAAAAGCATCTTCTTTACCGATTATATGGAATATCTCTATGACAGTGGTACCTCTTTCCTTAATGACAAATTTACCCCCCAAAAGGACTTTAACATCTGATTGTATACTTTTGTAAACATGAATTTATAAATCACTGACAAAATCATCTAAAATAAGCTGGTAAGAATGATAGCGTTCAAGCTGAAATTCAAATGAGTAAGACTGATACAGACACGTATAGTAAGAATGAAACGTTTGGATTTTTCCACATGTTTAAGCAACTTAGCTTTTAATTTAAAGTTTTGTTGAATTTAAAACACTTTATTACTATGCAGGATATTTGTCTAAATAATTTATTCCACTTTGTCAGATAAGATTGTTTAGAGGCAAGACTAATTCCCAGTGCCGTTTTAAGAAGTTTGGGGACCCTAGGCACAAACTCTAATCTTAAAAGAAACCAAAATTGCGCCTCAATCTCTCAGTCTCAGATACAGAGCATCGAATTGCATTTCCATGTGCATGTCTGTCATTTTGTTAAATTTATTAATATAGTACTAAACTGCTAACACAACCGACAACGAAATTTGGTTTTTGGTCCCCACGGGGCCTCTGATGCGTGGGGCCCTAGGCACGTTCCTCGCGTGCCTATGCCTTAAAACAGCGCTGCTAATTCCAAGACGAAGGTGACATCAGACAATGCATTTGCTTTTGCTACCAAAAAACAATATCATCTCCTTGTAAATGGGTTTGGATTGTAGAGCAATTGATGGAGAAAACAATTAAAAAGAATATCTCAAAGTGATTTTGAATTTCTGTTAGATATTTCGAGATGACCAGGTCATAATGGCCCATAAAGCTTCTGACATCATCAAAACAAGTACAAACCAAAATTACGACAGGCTATAGTGGACAGGGAAGAAATAGATGTAAAATTCTACAATTCCAATATGGAAAATCTTACAAGAGTGCTGATTTCAAATGAAATTAGGAAAACGAATTGAATAATTTGAATCTTGCAAACCTTGGCAAGCAAAAGGATTAAATGAGCACCACGGTAAGAGTCTATTTATCGCGTGACGATAATACCAATTTTATTTGACCAAACCGTACATTAGTGCAGTGAAATGACTAAGAAACTATTCGGAAGCCTGCTTTTCCTTTCCTTTAATCGACGTTTGAACGCAATGCATGACTTCAGGATTTGTTATTACACGTGTTATACACAAATTATTACACGATTGTATTAGCGTAAAATAAGACAGTACTCGTGAGAAATGGAAAGATTTTTATTTTTTACTGAAACATGAAGCTAATATTGTCTAACAAATAATTCAAACAGCCCAAGTAGGTACATATTCCCAATACTTTAACCAAAAGCAAATAATGTACCCTTATACAAATAACTACCATTATAACAAGACTTAATAAAGAGAGCGCCTCAGTTATTTCGAGCATATTATTCTTGCGTGTTTAACGCCATTTTAAAGCACTACGATAGGTTATACATACCGGCCATTATAAATGGAGGAAGAACCCTGGAGAATCATGATAAGAAGCATCTACCCACGGGAAAGTACTTGTAAGCTTTATCCCAGACTCACTTTGACCGAGCCATCGACTCGAAACAACTCTAACAGAGTTGAGATGGCAGTGATCGGTAAAGGCGCATTTAGATTACTCGGCCATGTTGGGCCCCGTTTTAGGCATGTATAGGAACTCTAAATGCAAAATAACTTCCTGTTTAAATCAGGGTTATTTTTATTGTAGGTACTTTATCGTATAGCATTATGGTCATGAATTATATCAGGTTGCCTCTTGAAAGGGCTTTATCTTAATGTTGGACCAAATTTAATGACCTTAATTTATACAGGAATGTCCGTTCCGACCGCCATTGTCCATTGCAAATTAACACTGACTGACCGTAGCATGTTTCTTTGTCACGATCTATCTCTGGAAAATGACCCCAGACGAAGCATGGATAAGGTTACATTGTGCGTTACTTCATATTCACTCGTAGAGATTTCCCCAAATGTTTGCTTTTTAAAATTAGGTGGGATTGACCCCCATCAAGGTAGGTTCAGTATGACTCCAGTCTAATGATCAAACCAGACATGACCTGTCACTAATAATTAACAGGATCCAGAATCAGAGGATGAAATATAACTTGGCATTAAATTGAGTCCGTTAGAACTACTGACATATATTAAACATAATACAAGAGGATGCAATACAATTTGGTATTAAATTGTGTCCGTTAGAACTACTGACATACATTAAACAATACAAGAGGATGAAAAACAACTTGGTATCAAATTGTGTCAATTAGAACCACTGACATACAGTAAAATAATACAAAAGCAGTATTTATGCAAGGTCCATCAGATATATTTAATTCCTGTTTAATGCCAATTAAATTAGCAAATTCTGTGTAAATCATTGATATTTACTTTTCTTAGAGAAAAATTTACAGTTAGCAAAAGCTTAAAACGCCGGATCCTTCAATCAAAACTGATAGGAAAGTATTTTCATTCGAGTCTCCGTAGTTTCATTAGAGTTTCCTTATTCAATGCATTATATTTTAACGATTTTTTGCTCATAAAAGATAAAATATATTATACATATTTTGTATCTGAAAAATCTGATATTGATTTAAATCAACATAATTATTCAGTGTGTCTTTAAAGTAAATGAAAATAAAGCAACAAAAACTTGAATAGATAAGCAATAATAAAAGTTAAACAAATACATAAAATACCGTTCTGCCAGTTAACCAAAACAAATGGCGTAATTGTTGTTTGTCTATAAAAAAACAAGTGAACTATTTTTTAATGTAGTAGAAAAAACACTTTTATACCAAACATATTTAAACAATAAATTTTGAGACCTGCAATCTCTGAAAGTGTATATATTTTCTAAAATACATACATTAACATTCCCACTCCCTCAACTTAATTACAAGTCCAATTAAAATACATGTATTTAAAATATTATACCATAATATTTGACACATATGCTTCAAATTCCAACTGAAAACATACACACACATGCACACTACGTGCTGTATTAGCTTAAGAATAAAGATGAACAGGGAACAAAAATATGATGATTGAAAAATAGTACCTTTCCAAATCCAAATCAACCTTTTGCTTAACTGAATGTATGGTCTTCAATTCTCTCTCTCTCTCTCTCTCTCTCTCTCTCTCTCTCTCTCTCTCTCTCTCTCTCTCTCTCTCTCTCTCTCTCTATATATATATATATATATATATATATATATATATATATATATATATATATATATAGATATAGATATATATAGATATATAGATATATATAGATATATATAGATATATATATATATATATATATATATATATATATATATATATATATATATATATATATATATATATATATATATATATATATATATATGTGTGTGTGTGTGTGTGTGTTTGTGTGTGTGTGTGTGTGAGAGAGAGAGAGAGAGAGAGAGAGAGAGAGAGAGAGAGAGAGAGAGATTCAGGGACCCAACAATTTTAATTTTGACCCTCAGTTTTGATACCAAAGAGTCGTTTTTACTAAGTTTAACTCCCTAATTCTGACAACAAGGGGATTTTTACTCTCAGTCATTCACTTCTTTAAAATAAACCGATACACAAAAAATATAACAAAGGCTGGTCCAGCAATCCTGAGACACAAGTAAGGGGCTATTGAGTTATATGATTCCTATTTCATGGCGGACAACTCAATACATATTGTTCTCTTATAGTGAAACCATATAATTATATAGAAGATACATGTATACATATTTAAAATCAAAAGATAAGGAAAATTTGATTTAAAATCCAACTAGAAACTGCCAACGTGTATATAAAAAGCTGACATGAAAACCGTTACATAGTAGTTCAAAATCTAGTGAAACAAAATTGATTTCGTCATGACTAAAACTGATATAGCTGCAAGGTGCTGCTAAATATATAGATCCAATTAAACAAATATGAATTAACATGGAGGTTATATTTAATGAATTGTATGCCTTCCTTGCTTGGCCAGTCAAAGTCTGAAGTAACGGTTGTATCTTCAAACATCGCGTCTCTTCCTGCAAAATGAATTATTTCGCCAATAAATAGTTGATTAAATTCATTTAAGATCTGATGTATTATGCTACAGTTAAAATAATCTTCTTCTGGATATTACTTTTAAATAGCTTTTTGT